TATTTGAAACTTAAACTGGCTTTTTATGCAGAAATAATCGCTGACAGCTTTTACGATCTATATATTTCTGATACAGTATATGTATGCTAATATTTTGCAAAACATTTATTTGATTTATTGGTTCATCATTTTCACGCGATACTTTATGTATATGAGGCATTTATACTCTGACCGGGGATTAAATCCATAATTTGTGTGTACGATCCATTTTAAGTATGCGAAACCTCATCCAAAGTAAATCTTGAAATTATAGGCTTGGTTCGCTCTATTTTCAAAACTCTTTATATGCACCCTGGACTCAGACTCGAAATTAGACGCACAAAAAAGGTTATGAATATTTAATCGAAATAATTTCTCGTTAAGCAAAACTCTATATTTTATAGAAACAGTATAATAGCTCTGTAAAAAATCAATAAATTACCATTTATAAAATCATTTATTCTAGTAAAGAGTAAAACAAATAAAGAATGATCTGCGTCGTTTTATATTTATCAGAGAAATTAAAATTATTTTTCGATAATATTTTGTTTTCATTTTTTTCATACAAAGTATAATTGTTACATCCAATCATTAGTTTCCTAATAAATATATATCCTGTAATATCGTACATGCAAACTGATCCCTACATAGCGCTGCATCCTATCATCCCTGTCACATTTACATTCTTCATGCCTCTTTCATACAGCGATAGTATCAAGGAATCAAGCTTGTGCTGTCGAGGAGTCGTTGTTCTAGACGTTCGTTACGCACGCACACCGAAAAAGCCGATCTACTCCCAGCGAAAATGGAAGTGGCACTCACGCTACGTTACTTGCAGGCAAGTAGCCTGACAGCAGTGTTATCGATATCCCTGTCTTTTATACCGTCACGACGACATCTCCCCGATAGCGATATCGCTGCACGGTAACTTCCGGCAGCAAGACAGGCACAATTCCGTATTTGGGTCAAACGTAACCTGCGTGAGTGGAAAAAACATCGGAGCTTGTACGAGGGATGGAATTCAAACATATATATCCCTTGTCATTCTTATCGTTCTTCCTTTTTCGGATCAGAATTGTTATTTAGGTCGAGATATACTTTGGGAAATACTATGTAAAAAGATGGAAAAAAAAATAAAACGTCTTAAAAAATTCGCATCAACATTCGCGATAATTTGGAGGTATACTCGTATCAATATTGTATGTATTATAAAAGAAAATTTGAAGAAAATTTGAAGTAAATCTTTTTTGGTTTTTAAAGATTCTCTTAGTCTTAGCTTATTCATTTTTTCCCAGAAAATATCAATACGAAACTTGTAGATTCAAAACAAAAAATGTAAATTTTTCACGTGATATAAAATTTAAGATTGTTCATAAATTTTGTCGGTATTACGTTTGTATGTTAATTTATTGCATAATACTTGTATTAATTCCTAACATATTCTTGTGTTAAATTAACATAAACATTTGAATGGACGCATGAAATGTGTGAAATTTTATGCAAATTTTTCAACTGCATATATCTTTACAAGGTTTTTCTCCAATGTTTATTGCGTTATCATCCATAACAGTGGCTACGTTTATACTGTGCACTTAGGCCGCGACCTATACGATAGGTGTCTTTGTTTAACCTACAGGATAAACAAGGACATCTATTGTATAGGCCGCGGCTTAAATGCACGGTGTAAACGTAGTCATTAGGTACAAGTATATAAGTGCATAGAGGATACACATATGTGAACGTTCACAGTATACTGAGCTGAAATCCGTAGATTCACTAAACCTAAATGACCATGCGGATCAGTCATATCTCTGCGGAAAGCTACTCATGCTATCAATATCTTGAATCGGTAGTGACATCAAGCGTGAACCGAGTGATCCCTACGTTACATTAACGACAAGCTTGTCTCGTTCTTAACAATGTAACACCAAACTCTTAAACGTCACGATCGATATTACGAATTCCATGAGCAGATTGTGAAGCTCGATGAAAGAAAGGTGATCACAATGGCTGTCACGAGTTTCTGTGCCACGGATACTCGGACTCTGAGTCACTCGACTACTCGCTCGCTCGCTCGCTCGACCGCTCGTATTGTGATCTTTCACCTAGCAACGCATTGGTTCTCAAACTAAACGTCACAAAAAATCTTGAAAGAAAGAAAAAAGGAAAATCTTAACATACATTCCTCAATCAAAAAATAAAAAAGTCAATATACATATTCATTTATATAAAATATATATGAAATAAATGCATTGTTTATGTCTTATATAACACAGAAATAATTCAAATCAATCTACTTTCTGAGAAAGTTCGATTGTAATAAATAAGATCTCTTCTTGATTGGAATAATTGTAAATATGTTTACATAATAAAATTTAATACATGTAATTAAAGTTTGGCGTTAAAGGAAATTTGAAGTCGGAACAATTTGGGAACCTCTGTACTAACGGCTTTAAAATTTTGAAGCAGCAATTCCCACCGACTGGCACAGCAGAAAGGAACGAGGTACGTCGATCCCGATCGAGGATAATGCCCGCTTCGTAATCATCGAGTGCGTGACCTGAGTTTCGCAACGGTTGACGACGCGATTCATCATCCAGAAACTAATAAAATTTAGCGTTAAATTTCAATGAAATCCGCAAAATTTCCAGAAATATTTATTTATTTATCGCGTACACAACAGGGGAGAAAACATATTCTCTTGAATTCCTTCAAGTTTAATCATAACAAATCGTATCCTGCATTATGCATGATGTCTGTGTGTTATAACAATATTTCTAATAACCTTTTATAATATATATATAAAAACTGTCATACTGAGAAAAAAAAATTCTTAATTTTAATAAATATTTAATTAAATAGTGCCAACTAGATATTTACTTACAGAGCAAATAAATATTTATTCATCAAAAAAAGTAGCTCAATCAAATTAACGATTCTTCTTATCAAATAAATATATCGTTATATAGTAAATAAAGAGTTGGTACTATTCAAACAAATAATTTATTCATCTCTCAGTAGAGAATCAAAAATCGACTGAACCAAGTTAGTAGTATTTTTTTATTGATGATAATTTACAAAGAAATGTTTTAAAGTTCGAAAATTGCCAGTGTGATTTTAAAATTTGGAAAGCTCCAACGCGGTTCACATCACGTTTTTCTTCGCGACAATGATAATTGCGACGAATGCACGACATTCGTTCGGTAATCGTTCTATTGGGAAAGCGCGTATAGCGAGGGAGTGAAACCAATGTCACTCGAGAGAGAAATCAGAACACATGATGATCACGAGTACATACATACGTATTTTGCAAATCGAAAGCGTACGAGATCTTGGCGCGAAGCCGAGATAAACAGACTGACGATTGAATCGTGAAAATTCATATTTCGTGACCGAATTAGAATGTACGTTGTCTTTGCAACAGAAGTCGACGTGATTCAGATCTCTATTATTTTTCTTCGAGAAGCGAGAAATCAATTTGATATCATACTGTTTGCATTGGATTACAAGCGGAAAAGTTTTTTATGATATATATAACAACGCATAAGAATTTTAGTTAATTAATTTCAGGTATTCCTAAATAGAATAATAATAAAACACAACGTAAGTTTCTTGTCTATTAGATTAGAACAATTTTCCATGGTCGCTCACGTGATAGTTTTATTTTAAAAAATTATCATTACTATTAGCAATAATAAGTTATCGCTAATTGTATTTTATACGCGAACGAGACATATGTGCACTTCATAAGATTTATCGTCGCGCTTCGTTCATCGGAATGTAGTTCACATAACGGAGCAACATACATAATCGCGATATCTATGGGTTTGATCTACCTTCAAGGATCTACGGACAACAAGCGTGTTCGTCTTTGAATATTTACACAATAGCTAGGAAGGAACACTCACTTAACTTTTGTCACCCATTCGAAACTTTAACGAATGGTATTAGCGTCGTCAGGTATTCCTTTTCCATCTTGCCATAAACAGAAATATCTTACGTCACTCGGAACTGCGAGCCGTTGCGTCGTTATGCAGAACCGAGACGCATAATGCACACCAGGTGCATCAGCTTTTCCACGTGCACGCGCGATAGGAAATTGACTTCGTGAAATGTGTCACATTTTTCTATAATGAACGTGAGAATAAGTGCGATAATAACGATATGATTATCGCATTCGCGCTAACTAAACTAAGAATTTTAACGAGGAACAAAATCATTAAGAGCTCTGATAAAAAATTAAAGCTCTCATCATAATGGTCTATATTATTAGTAACAATTATTATATTATTTGTTGTAACAATAGGTTATTAATGTGAATGAGCAACGTAAATGTAAATCCTAAATAGTAAATTATGTGAACGACTTGAAAAAAGTAATGCGATTAACTATTTCTAAACAATTTATCTATAAATGAATTTTTTAAAAAAATTGGAAATAGGAATGTCATTAACAAAAAAAAAAACAATATTAATATTATTGATTTAAGTATTATTAAAAGTATCATAACAAAACATTATTGATATAATCATGAAAATTAATTGAGAGTTATACAAATTCTAAAGTAAAATTATTTCAGTATAGAGTGCTACATTTCCAAAATAAAGCCTCAACAGTATTATCAATTCTTAAATAGTTTCGAAATTATTCAGGGAAGTGTTCACCAAAGTATAATCTGTTGAAAGTACAGGTAATCCATCATAAATTATTTGAATGCAACTTATATGACTCCTTTACGAGAAACAATATTTCAATGTCGGAACGCGTCTTCTGCACGAATAAAATATTTATACAAACAAATGCGTGTGTCAAGTGTAATAAAGCGTCGATGCCAGTGTGTATACAAAGATCGATTCAGTGAACCAAAATAGAGTCCATCAGGTGTGAATTACCACGCCAAACGCGTTTCACTTTGCGCAAGCAGAGCGCTCGACATTTCAGCGGTCGCCTCTAATTAGCGTCGTCAAAGCGTGCGGTATTTACCTGGCGCGGGAGAGACACGACGGAGAAACTTGTCTTACCTTCGTTATCGTCTGCGGGATGATCTCACGAGGCGCATCGTCCGGTTCGGCACGGTCAGCTGCGTGAGCTCGGCGCGGCAGAGGTATCCAATTTTAGCGCTTCCCGCGGTGCAGTCAGTGTCAGACGGCGCACTCGCGTCAGAATAACTCTCGCAATGCAAATCTCGAACTGTTCTCGAGTTGCTCTCGAAGATGCACGCGCTCCAAAGACGTTTTCTCTCTCCCTCCTCGGCCAAAATACGCGCGCGCGCCCACACACACACACACACACGCACACACACTCACAGAAACACACACCGTTTCCTTCCGTTCGATAGTCACCTCATCTCTTGCAAATCTTATATCGAATAACGAGAGAGAATCCTACCGCGTTAGATGCTCGTAGAAAGCGAGAACCTCGACAGAAACGTCCGAAACGAACGGCGCAAGTGTCAAGCGGCGACTACTCCAATTTCTTCTTTGACACAGGGCGCAGAGTGAAGGGGGAGGGTTCGTCCCCGAGGGATGACGAAGAGGCCCGAAAGCGCGATGGACTCCTGTCACTTGATCTGCGTCTGATTCCTCTTCCACCTCTCCTTTCCTCTCTCACACCGTCTCTTGCTCCGCTACCCTCAACCGCGAGTAGGTCACGTTCTCTGGAAGCTTCCGCGCACGGTCACGTGTCGTGTTCGCAAATTCAATGTCGCGATCGTTGAACTCCAACGTGTCTCCGAGTACTTGAGCTCTAGTTTATTTTCGCGCCGAACGAGAGTGGACCGCGGATTAAGGAAACTTACTACTCGCGGGGCAGTGACGTGACAGGGTGCACGGTTCTCGACCGTCTGAGCGCCGATGCGGAACCTGTTCTCTCGCGAGCGACCCTCTCGCGGCCGCTTCCGCCGGCGCCGACGCGCGGCTACCAATCGCACCGCGTTCTCGTTCCCCACTGTCGTCGGTCACGGTCCAATGGTGGCGCGCGGACGAGCGGACACTTATACCGCGCGCGCGATGGCGCGAGGTCCGACAAACGCATCCAGACGTTCGCGCCGAACCAAACCGCTCGGGGACTTTCTTCCGTCAAGACAAGTTCCCCCTTTGAGTCCTCCTTCGTTTCTCTGTCTCTTCCTCTTTCTTTCTGGACTGGCCACGAGATTTGAAAGTAAGCGCGCGGATCCGGTACACGGCCGGCGCGACGCGGCGATCGAGGCGTGATTTATCGCGGGGAGCCAAACGCGCGGAGTATGCCGCGCCGCAGAGTCGCGAAAGAGGTCAAACGTGAAGGGCCCGCTTCAGTCGCGCTTTCTAAAAATTAGCGACTCCGATGATGGCAAGCGGGTGTGCCGAGAGAATTCATCGATCAGTCATCTCCAATGAAAGGCAATTATCCGAGCCACGATAGATATAAATGCAGACAAATTAGATATAGGCAATCGTATTTAATGATGTAGAGACAACTGGTATTAATTGAAAAATTATATTGCATTGCGATAGACCAACACCGTACATTTCTAAAAACCAGAATACCACTTGATTGTTCGATACCTAGAATAATCTAGAAATTCGCTTTCTGCGATAATAACTCTAAGAACAATTGTACAATGTTATGTTTGATAACATTTCGCATAAAATACATTTGGAGTTTTAACTCGTTGACTGTTGAATAGGAGTTAACTCGTAATTGCATGAATAATTTCGCTGAAATGCTTAAAAATTTAGCTAGATATAGATCTGAAAATAATTTTGTTGAATTATCGAAATAAGTTGTGTAGGATGCTCAAGAATAACGACCAATGCTGCAAAAAGTTTTCACATTCTAGCGACCAGCTTGAATACACAGAATTATTTTGATAATCTAAAAGGTAAAATTATCTTAAGATCAATCTGTATTTACAGTTGAGTTATTAGATGTTTTAGTAAAACCGTTCTTTTGGTATATCTAAAAAAATCCAGATTTTTACAGACTCGATTTTATAGTATGTAAAAAAGAAAAACTTTTATTAATTTTTAATGGAGACCAAACATATTCAAACACTATGTTACAATACAAAGTGATATAAAAAAAACATCGGACAAAGTTACCCAATTATACAGTGGCATTCTTCAACTTAATTCCAGGAGAACGATAAGGGTTATCGCGAAGGATATGATACTTTGTTATTTACTTGCTCGAACAGGGTAAGAAAAGATTGCGGTTCCTTATCTGAATGACCATGTGACCAGTGCATCGAACGCAGCGTATTTCGATGAACGCGTTTCCCGATAGAAAATTGATAAATCTTTTATCGTAAAGCAAATTTCAATGACTTCCGTCATTGTCCGAATAGATAAAAATAATTCGCACAAAGCCGAGTGAGATTAATTCATTTCAACATATGTTCGAAATAACATATATACACATCGATTTCTTTTTGTACAAATGTCAATAATTATGATATTTCGAATTGATAATGCGTTCCGAGAAATATAAAGATTGAGGAAATATAATAGACACGTATGTATTTTTATCACCAATTTAACCCTCTGTCTACAGTTTGAACCTCTTTTAACGAAAAATGTCATTCTCAAATTTTTCCGAAATAAAGAAAGACTTAACGTAAAACTATTTGATACTATAATAAAAATAAAAGTAATTCTGTGAAGTTTTCCATATTTTTTGGAAGCCTAAAATAATATAAAAAAAAAAAATTGAGATGGACGAAAGGAATAAAAATATGATGCAAACAGAGAATTACAATGATAATCGAGCTCAATATTAATTCCTTCTTAAAAATCATTCAAATAAGTAAAAGAGTATTCCCTTCAAAGAATTGATCAGAAAAGAGGATTTACCCTCAAAGTTCTTCAATGCCCGGTAATCTCTCTTAATTAAACACTTCTTTCGAAAAGAAGTAAATCTCAAATTTGTCAAAAAACAAAGATCAATAAAAATAATTACGTAACACGGTGATATAAACAGTAACTCCAATATTTGTTACGAAATTGGTCAAAGTAATTACTACGTATTTAATGTCCGTAATGTGATCGTTGAGAAACCAATATCGGTTACATCGCGCTCCGAAACTCCAAATTACTTTGATCGTCGTTGCCGCTAATGATCGCCACCTTTCTCGGGTCATCATGTATACATCGTTTGCGAGCGCGGGTTGGTCCGTGCGTGTGCTATGTGTACACGCGTACACGTGAGAATATTGATTCTACCGCGTCAGCTGCTTGCTTGCTTGCGATCGCCGTGGCTTGGTTACCCTACCGCATTCTAACCCACATTCACGTGCACCGCCACGCGGCCGCGCACAAGTTACTGACTAGGATATTCCTGTTTCGAATGACCGGTGTGCTTTCCATGCTATCGGATTTATCGAAGAGACGGATATCGATACCCCGGGCGAAATTGCAACTTAAATACTTGCAATCGCAACTTGAACCTTTTGAATATGGATATCTGTTAATTTCTCTGCCATTGAGGAAAATCATAAAAGCACCGCGGGTCACAGTTCTTTCATTACGCTTTGACTTCGTTAAATATTTCTTTTTTGCTCTCCTTTTTTTTTTTTAATTTTACTCGTGATTAAACTTTGTAATGTAGAAAAATTGAATCGGAATAATATAAATAGAATTGTCCGACTTATACTAAAATAAAACGAATAATCTGAAATGTACACAGAAAAAGAATAGTTTTGTTGAATATGTAAAAATTTAGTTACACGATTTAAAAATAATTTGAATCATCAAAATATACATTGCTTAAAATAATTAAGAAATTCTTGTAGGAGCATTTTTAGAAATTCACTTAACAGTCATCATAAGGAGAATCTGAAGATGAATATTGGACTAATAAGTATACTTGGAATATTCTAACGCAACTAAATAACGGATTGATAATGGGATCAAGCACATGACTGCGTAATTGCGGAAACGAGAGATCGCTTCCGATGCGCTACCCGATGGGAATCGTTTAATGCTTCTTTAACGGGAATCTCGCGGGTGGGGTCGCGACCGCACTATTCTTTATCCGGCGTACGTTATCCAGTCTTAATGCAGGTCCCGTCCGATAACGTGCACAACAACCGCATTCAATAATGTCCACCATCACGCGAGTTGGTACAAGCAACATTAATCCGATTAACCTGTTTAAATAAGCCGCATTCAAGCCTGGCTACACAAATCCTTTGATTGTAAAACCTTTGTTTGTTCACAATCACGAAGGGAATCATTCGGCATCGCGGGGATGTCGACAGTATTCTAGTTATGATAGTTAAACTGTGTCTGATTCGATATTTACGATTTGCTCGAATTAGACTCGATGATTTGCATAGGTATAAATTTGCGCTTACACACTGCTTGATGTTTATCTCATCATTTCACAGTAACTAGTCATAATAGCGGTCTAACCGTAATAGCGGGCTAAAATAATGAAGCAAAATACTTCTAACGACGACCGTTAGACTATTAAAACCTAGTTTCACATCAGTCAGTTAAATTTAACTACAGCTTAATGAATGTCTGGTCTCGGTCTCTTTCTCTCTCTCTCAAGTTCTAGTTCGACAAAAACTCAAGCTGCAGTTTACTAGATTCTAACAATAAGATCCGTAAAAGAGAGTGATTGTTTAAATAACACAAAATTATCAACGTGTCAATTTTTTGAGAATTGTTAAAAAAAACCGCATATTTCTTTCGATTATATAATAGTTAGAAACGTAATAATTCCTTTATTAAATAGAAGATAATCTTGAAGATTGAAACGAGAGAATCTTACGTTTCAATTTACGTGTCCAGACATTCATGTCCCCAGGCTGCTGTCATTCTTCGATCTACTTCCTGCCTATCTTTCTTTAGTAAATATTTGATTGACTTGTTAAATTCCAACATTGAATATCTTTCTAAGCAAATTTCAAATAAAATTTATCCAACTAAAAATCAAATAAACGATAAAAATCCTATTTTATTTAGCTCAATTCAAAGTTTTTGCATCTGTATATTTCCACAATCCCTAATTCTGTTATAGATGCGACAACTCTTACAACCGTTTTGTTAAAGAAAATTCCATTCCTTCTAAGGAGGATCCATTTGCGTCAAGTCCTTTTGCGAAAAAGGTCAAGTAGAGTAGTGGAACACTCTACATGTCAAGGGAAGTAAAAAATTAATGC